TTTTGTTTATTCCGCTGCGCTTCTTTAATTAATTTTTAAGATGTAATAGCCATGACTTGGGCTTATTCTTTTGGATAATGTTGTAAATATTCGTGGACGACAAATGAAGTCTTGTTTCTTAAGGGATTATATTAGTGCTCTCATGATATGAATGATTTTAGAATGTAATGTCGTCCAAGATGTGTTTTGGGGCGTTACAAAACCATAATTGACATGACTACTCAAAACTTTATATATAATTCCTACTATCGATTTTTGGTCCACTGCATTATATAGTTTTTTTGGCATAGTTTAAGCTAACTAGTGGATGTCTACTTTATGTTATGTGATATGATTATTAGTTGGCTTTTCTTTCAACTAGGGTGGATTTATGTAAAAAAAATTCTTCCATCACCATTTAAATTTTCTACTTTCTCCCCCTTAAATACCGTACATATGTCTTGAATTTCTTTAAATGATAGTGGTGTAAATGTGCGCAGGTTCAAATGGAATTGACTATGGTATAAAAAAAAATTGGTATCGTACCACTTATCATTTTTTTTAGTAATTATACTACATTTCGGGTGGAGTTTATTATTTTTTTGATGGCAGAACCTTTTTTTGAGCTTTTTTTTAAAAAAAATTTTGTTCATCGAATTTGTCCTTATTCCACACTTTTTACCTTACTTTATCACAAGACGTTTAAAAGGCAAATACTTCATGAATATAATGACAATAATGATAGCAATGACATCTATATATATTTTGGTTTATTGCAAAGAGAAGCTTCAAAACACTATAAAAAGAAATGATCGACATGGCAATAGCAGCTGTGGAAACGAAATACTATGCTCAAAGTCTACCTTCCGAAAAGCTTGAATTTCAAGTGTTTTTCAATTATCATATTTTCAATGATTTCAATACCCTCTTTGCCTCCCTCCCTGTCGATAGACAATATTTTGGCGTTGGAGTTCCAGGCTCTTTCTATGATCGATTATTTCCCTCGCTGTCTCTCCATTTTGTGCACTCATCCTATGCACTACACTGACTCTCTAAGGTGCCAAAGAAGTTGCTAGATAAAAACTCCTCAGATGAAGTAATGAAAGCTTGTGCAGCTCAACTTGAAAGAGACATGGAGAATTTTCTGGATGCTATAGCTAAAGAAATTGTTGTTGGTGGAATGATGATACTCATCATGCAAAGTCCCCTGGATAATATTGATCACTCTAAGACCCCAGCTGGTGTGACATTTAAATTTGTTGAAGGTGGCCTTATGGATATGGTGAAAGTGGTGAGTCAATGATCAACTATGCATCTTGGAGCCATAAAATTAAAAAATTGACTAGCTTGATAAAATAAGTCTGAAGACCTTATACTTAGCAAACTCATTAGAGATGGATATTGGTGAAACTGACGAGCCACCATCCATTGTCACTCTCATCAGCTCCATGTACCCAAAACATATCAATCAGGCTTATTTTTTCTATACCAATTTGTAACCCTTTACCAAAACTTCCACAACTAATCCACCTACCAAACAATCACTTTCCTAAACCGTATAAAAACACCCATTTAAATAGACAAATCATACATTTCTTGCAAGAATGTCTTGGTTCCAAATCATCCATCGTGAATAACTCGAATCAATTATAACTTCACATGTGAATAGTGTGTTTGATGTTAAAAATAATAACTTTTGAATGGTAAAATTTTTTTTTTTTAGTACCATAGTGCTATAATTCTATGATTATTTGTTGGATGAATTTGATGATTTGCATATCAATAATGTTGTGCATACAAAAAAATGCATCAAAAATCAAATCGAATGATTTGATTAGATTTTCTCCCCCCCACATATATATATATATATATATATATATATATATATATATATTCAAAATTGTGCACTACAACACTCGTGTACATTAATTAGCTAGTTTAATTTTGATTAACAACTTCCACTAAACATTTAGGAGTGGTTCAGTGATTGGGCCTGATATTTTGTAATTCATAAGTTTTTGATTCAATTTCTTTCCACATTTCCTAAGGGTGTGTTTGGATGCTCGGAGTGGATTGGATAAGATATAAAAAATATAAGCTTGCCTATCCAAACTAATCCAAAAAAACTCATATTCGGATTGGATATGTATCCATGCCAATGTTTGATAAACCAATTTTACATCTCCATGGAACCCACTAACAAAAGGTGATTTAAAAACATTGAACTGATATGTTTTCATTATTACACCCTTTAGCCAATCTAATCATATCTTACGTTTGGATCAAAAATGGGTGAAACTATCTGAAATATTTTTTTTGCCAAAAATTCTTTAACATATTTAGGGATACACTTTAACTCGATTGATCAGTTGATGAGTTCAAATGAGTAGTCGACATAAAAACACAAAACTCCTAATGAGCGTTTCCATTATTTATTGCACGCGTTAGAATTTATGTAGACATGATTTATTATATATTATTCAATTTAATTATAGAATAAGTCATAATTTTGTATATTTTCTTGCCCTATGCTCTTGCATTTTTGACACTTTTTTTTGGTAAGTGCGTTTTGAAAGTTATCTTCTCATTTTTAACTACATTTTGAGTCATGCAATTTTTGCATAGTTTTGTGGCTCAATATGATTTTTTTTTTGACATAAGTTGCATGTAACATTTTGGACATGTTGTGGTGGTTGATAAATGATTGTATTAAGACAGAATTATGGTGTAATAGAAGGTTCGATAATTAGTTTGAATTGTTTTTACTTAAGAATAAACAACGGTGTACCAATTTGTAGCCTAAATTGTGTACTTGAGTTTATATTTTTTTGAATTCTTAATTTTAGGATATATTTTACAAAAATAATTTGAAAATAGTTGGCTCAAATTGTTTTACATAATGCCATCAAATTCAAGTTTGAGCTTCCTATATATTTATATATTTTTGCTCCAATTTTTCACATAGTATATTTAGTGCAGAATCAAATTAGTTGGGAGAGAGATTGGAAAGCCTCCCATTTCCAAATACTTTATCATCTTAAAAATTAAGTATTTACAAATAAAATTCTTCTAAGTTGCATGTAGATCACATAGAGCAGGGGCGAGAGTGAGCATAAAAAAAAGTTATTTTCAGATCGAGAATGCCTTGAGATCACCATATTATACGTATAGTGACACACATTCTTCCATTGAATTTAATAACAACATTATGTATACAAATAATTTTCATGCACAAATATATGACAAACTTTTTTTTTTTAAAAATATATGTTGATTATAAGGTCTTAGAACGAAAATTATAAATTGTAATTATAATTCTAGTTTGTTACGAATGTTTAGGCATGTATTGATACTTTCCAAATAAAATTTTGAATAATAATGAAGAAGTATACAAGAAAATGAGTGCAAATTAGTTTAAATTGTGAACTAAAAAACTGTGAATTTGCGAATTTTGTAAAATGAGAGTGTGAATTCAAGAAGAATTAGCTCCCAAAACACAAATTTGCGCGAATGATAGAGCATGAGGCGGTTATACAAATTGTGTGACTAATGTTGCATACGATGATAGCAAAATACTAATTGAGATATAATTTTAGAATTTAATGTACTATGACTATAATACCGATAGACCCATTAATGATCTAATTATTATTATCATTAAATCCTTAAATTATGTCCCAAAATCAAAACATGAATGTGGGTATTCTTCAAAAGTCTGAAGATGATAAATGAGCAATGCTCGACAAGAGTAGATATAGAAGCAAATTCATATGAAGCCTACACACTGTTGAAGCACCATAGGGAAGATACCAATCCCAACAGGGTTTTTATTGCAAACTGCAAAATGTTAGGAGAATCAAATAACTTAGTGAGACATGTTTTTATGGGAATGAATCAATGTACGAACGCTCTTACAAACTTAGGCAATCGACATGAGTATAAGTTTGTACTGTGGGTAGTCCTCCGATGGATATTAGAACCAGTGTTTTAAAATCCGGCCCGGCCCAGCCCAGCAGGTTGACCCGGTCCCCTAACCGGATCGGTTTTGTAATTGGATCGTTTGAGCAAAGAATCTGGAATAAAACTGGTGAACCGGTCAAAAAACCGGTAACCCGTGAAAATCAGACGGGTTTACAAAACCGGCTGGTTTAGTTCCTTTAGTACAAATATGTTTTTTTTTTACATTTTTGTGTCTTTTTTTTTTCCCCTTCTGTTTTGTCTTAAATCCTAAATCATTCGTTCAGTGTTTGTTAACTCAAAAATTAAGTGAATTCAATTAAATGATTCAGGTTTGAGGGTAGAGGCTGGGCTGTTAATTGAATGCATTGGTTTGTTAATTGAATGCAATTAAGTGATTGAGGCTTGATAATTTTGTTTGATTTAATATATATTAAACATATTATTTTTATAATTATTTTAATTTTTTAGTCTATTTATCATCATTAATAATTATTTTTTATTTTTTTATTATATTACCAGTTCGACCAGTAACCCAGTGATTGAACCAGAAATTCATTGACCCGATCTCTCATTCGGATTAATGTCCGAGCCAAATTTTAAAACTATGATTAGAACAGTGCTTGGTGCTTGAGGCTGATATGACCAGCTTTTCTCTTGTTTGACCAAATGAACAGTCCGACAACAAATTCCAATTAATAACACGATCTATATACAATACGACCCGCCACCAACCTCATACCTAACAAAAACTAATAAAACCACGCCAGTCCAAAAAGATTAGCCTTCCACCACGTCGACCTCTGTTTTTGACGTCGGAACTTCTAATCCACTTCACCTCTCTCTCTCTCTCTCTCTCTCTCTCTCTCTCCAGATATATTACTCATATCTTTATTCTTCGTTTCTCACTCTTAAGGGACTCTCTCTCTCCTATTGAGCAAATGGTGGTTGGGACTGGGAAAGCGAAGCTCCAATGGGTAATTCTGGCATCGGTGGTACACCTTGTAATGGTCGCCGGAGAATACTTCAAGCCGTTCAATGTGAGCTACGACCACAGAGCTTTGATTGTCGACGGAAAGCGAAGAATGCTCATCTCCGCCGGAATCCACTACCCTCGTGNAGCTCCAATGGGTAATTCTGGCATCGGTGGTAAACCTTGTAATGGTCGCCGGAGAATATTTCAAGCCGTTCAATGTGAGCTACGACCACAGAGCTTTGATTGTCGACGGAAAGCGAAGAATGCTCATCTCCGCCGGAATCCACTACCCTCGTGCCACTCCCGAGGTATACTCCCAATTCTCAATCGGATGGTTATGTTTCAATTTTCTTGATAATTCTTGATATTTGATAATTGATAGTATATGCGTGAATGTATGATTTAGTGGGTTGTACTCTGTACAAATGATTTGTCATTTGAGATGAATTAGTAATCAATTGATTTGGTCAGTCCAACTGGAAGCCCCTATTAAGTTGGAATTACATGCATAGACAATCGTGCGGTTGTGGGCCTGGATCAAGGGCGGAGCTAGAATTTTTTTTTAGGGTGGGCACAATAACACGTTTTAATATTTTTTTTTAATTGACGTTCATAAATTCATATTTATTGAANGACGGGCACAATAGCACGTTTTAATATTTTTTTTTAATTGACGTTCATAAATTCATATTTATTGAAATTATATTTAATACTTAATTAGTAAACATAGAGGATTAAAAAATATAAACATAATATGGACAAAAAAAATTAAAATAAAACTTGTTATTAAGAATGCGACTAATTATTATCACTTACAATTTACCCTTTTATGTTTTTATTATTTAAAAGAGTTACAAATTAATTTTATCGATAATATTGTTTTTATATAAAATTGTGGTAATAATCTTCCATTTATGATCTTATAATTTATTACATAATGACACACATTTTTATACAATAACGAAATAACCCTACAATTTAAAAAAATTATAAAATANTATTATGTTTTTATTATTTAAAAGAGTTACAAATTAATTTTATCGATAATATTTTTTTTATATAAAATTGTGGTAATAATCTTTCATTTATGATCTTATAATTTATTACATAATGACACACATTTTTATACAATAACGAAATAACCCTACAATTTAAAAAAATTATAAAATAATATCAATATGTTTGAATCATATTTGGATATGTTTGAAACGTATCCACAAGTTAACAGTAATATTAGGGTGTGTTTGATAACGTTTTCGTTTTTATTTTTTATTTTTTTATATAAAAAAAACTAAGTTTTATTTTTTTTTGTGATAAAAATTAAAAATATAAAACATATTCGGTAGTTATTTATATTTAAAAAATTGTAAAAACAAAAATAAAAAACTTGTTTGCTATTATACCAAAAATTCATTACCCAAACCCAACCCACCCAACTCCACCGACCACCCAACCCCACCACCGAAACCCAACCCCAACCCCACCACTGAAACCCACAACCCACCCCCACCATTGAAACCCACAACCACAACCACCACCACCACCACCGAAATCCACCTCAACCCACTCTCACCACCATCGAAACCCCACCACTGAAATCCACCACCACAAACACCGAAATCCAACCCCAGTCGAACCACCGAAACCACAACCATCGAAACTCACCCCTAATGCAACCCCCACCATCAAAACCCACGACCCACCCCCACAATCACAACCATTGAAATCCACTACCCACCCCAGAAACCCACTTCTAAAACTTTCGAGCAAAACCCACCACCCAACCCAGAAACCCACTATCAGAGAAGGGCAAGAGATAGAGAGAGAGAGTGTGAGTCGAGAGAGACCAGAGACCTGAAAAAATGGAATGATTGGCGATAGCGATGGCGACGACTTCTTCTTTGTCGTTGGCATCGAGAAAGAGAGAGAGAGAGAGAGAGAAACAAAGGTGAAAGAGAGATGACTTTTTATACCCCTGCAAAAAAATATATTTTTTGTTGCTAAGAAGGATCAAAGTCAAGATCTCATCAAAAGCCGCGCGCGTGTTTTTTTTTTTTTTTGGATCAAAGTATATATTTTAGCCTTGTTTTTAAAACGAAGATGTTAAAAAAAAAACAAAAACATTCAACAAACGTATTTTTTTTTAGCCATAAAATGAAAACAAAAACGAAAAAAACAAAAACAGGTAGTTACCAAACGCCACCTTAGTTGCACCTATTTTGAGATTTANACAAAAACATTCAACAAACGTATTTTTTTTTAGCCATAAAATGAAAACAAAAAGGAAAAAAACAAAAACAGGTAGTTACCAAACGCCACCTTAGTTGCACCTATTTTGAGATTTAATTGGTCGAGACCCAATAGTTTGTGATCATTGGATAGATAGTAGATTTTATTAAATATTAAGACTCATTATTAGACTTTATATCACAATGCATTAGAGCCTTAAATTAGGTTTTAATAATATTGTTTGAAAAGTTAACAATCATTTAGTTAGAGATGGGCACCATAGTTGTCAAATCACGTATCGGAAGGCGTGTCATTTTTCAATAATAGCGTATCGTATCGTGTATTGTAAGATACGCGCACACAGANGTTGGGCACCATAGTTGTCAAATCATGTATCGGAAGGCGTGTCATTTTTCAATAATAGCGTATCGTATCGTGTATTGTAAGATACGCGCACACAGACACAGACACAGACACAGACACACACACACACATATATATATATATATACCTTGTAAAAAAGTCATAGACTCATAATAACATAGCATTNGATGGGCACCATAGTTGTCAAATCACGTATCGGAAGGCGTGTCATTTTTCAATAATAGCGTATCGTATCGTGTATTGTAAGATACGCGCACACAGACACAGACACACACACACACACATATATATATATATATATATATATACCTTGTAAAAAAGTCATAGACTCATAATAACATAGCATTTCATGAATATTCTATCAACTAATCAAATTCTCAACATAGTTCAGTAATATCAAAATGTAAAGACCTCTAATTCAAAGTTTTAACATCAACTGTTTGAATAACCTTAATATTAATTAGGAATTTTGAATTCAATTGTACAACATTAATAGTAGACTNACTTTTAACATCAACTGTTTGAACAACCTTAATATTAATTAGGAATTTTGAATTCAATTGTACAACATTAATAGTAGACTTTATTTATTTTTTTTAAACCATAACCACTGAATCGACGTTGTTTTATTAGCTAATGATTTAAAAATAAGTGTTATGGTAAAACAATGTCATTTCAGTAAAAAAAAAAAAAAAAATTACTCGTCATGTATCGGACATATCGTATCGTGTATTGTACGATACGGTATAAAAACGATACAGAGACACGATATGTATCGTTTTTCAGGTGTATCGTGACGTATTGTACGATACGTATCACTTATTTTACGATACTAATAACTATGGTGGACACAATTAAATCTGTCTAAATTTTATTTCAAAAAATACATGTCTAATATGAAGGAAGAAAAATTGAGGGGGGCATATGCCCACCCTAGCCCAAGGGTGTTTCCGCCCCCAGCTCGGATACGATTTAAGTCATTTTATGTAAGTAACGCGAAAGTTGGGTAGACACAGTTTACAACTTAAGAAGATAATCAAAATAACGGTGATACTATGTTATCGTCGTCATGTATTGCCACCGAACATTGAGGAAGTGGATTTCACATATATTAGTAACCACTCTTCCATGTGCTCTATTTAAAAAAATGGGGTCTATTTTATCCATTTGACTGCGTTTCTATTAGATGGTGATATTACCCGGTGTAACCGATATATTGAATATTTACTCTTACTCGTCCCAACGTCATTGAATAGAAGTGATTAACTTGAGTAATGAGTGTTTTGTTTTTTGTTTTTTCATGCACACAATTCAAATAAAAAAATAATGTTTGTTTTTCTTATAGTTTGTGTATTTTAATAATCTTATTAGACTTGGTGTTCACTTATGTACATGCATGTTCACAGATTTTTAACATGTTATTCAAATTTAGTGGTGATCAATTGTGCTGGTAAGTGTAAATGGTATTTTTATGAAATTAAATTTTATAAATGCATATTCACGTGTATAATTTGTATTTGGAGATTCTATGCCATAAGGATGGCAATTTTGATTGAGGCTCGTGTATATCGTTTGGGGCGTGCAAAACCTTTTCAATTTGCTATATTTGAAATTGAGCCTAGGTCACCTCACTTATGATATTATGTAGGGCCGGCCAAAGCCCTACGCAGCGAAGGTGCTTGCCTAGGGCCCCAAATTTTAGAGGGCCCCCAAATATGTTTACTCTTTTAATACAATAGGACAATTTTTTTTATATATATAAATATATATATTTTAGATATGATCTATATTTTAAGGCCCAAATTTTAAAAATTCAAATTAATATTTAATTTTGTTAGGTCAAAAATTACTCTCTATTTAGTTAAGCCCAAATTATGGAGGGTGTCTATAAAATTTATTCCTTTAGTATAATAGGCCTATTTTTATTTTTATTTTTTTTGCATTTTAGATATAATTCAAATTTTTAAGGCCCAAATTTTAGTAGTTCAATTCAATATCTAATTTTGTTAGACCTAAAATTACTCTCTTTGTGAGCTTTTATTTAAGTTTTTCTAGTTCTTTTGGGTGTGTTTATAGTTGTATTCCTCTTACCCACATAAAAAAATTATATACATTATTTATTGTGGTGAAAATTTATAAAATTGGTTCATTTTTTATCTTAATATAAATTTTTAGTCCAAATAATTTATGCTTAACTTGTCTGTATTATCAAACTTTTGTACTTTATGCATGCACACAACTTGTGGGTAAATAATGATTCTTTGTTGTATTAAAATTACTCTTTGTTCACATATTTTATATTAAATTATTTGTGTAAAACTCAAAATTGAAAAAAATCTTAGTTACGCTCAATTAAGATTAAATGAATTAACTATATTATCTATTGAGTAAAATTTATTGTCAAAATTTGAATATAAAAACTTGATCAATGCATTTCAAAAATAAAAAATATTTTTAAATAAATAAAAAATAAAAAATAAAATTTAAATAATTAAAATATTATATATTAATAAATAAAATATTAATAGGACCACATATAAAGTTTTGCCTTGGGCGGCCCCACTTTACCTTGGGACGCCCCTGTTATTATGGTTGTTGGTGATCTGAGCTCAATTAGTAACATAATATAATGGATGCCCACAGCATGCCAAAACAGTAGAAAAACGAAAAGATTTATTTGGTCTGNCCTTGGGCGGCCCCACTTTACCTTGGGACGCCCCTGTTATTATGGTTGTTGGTGATCTGAGCTCAATTAGTAACATAATATTATGGATGCCCACAGCATGCCAAAACAGTAGAAAAACGAAAAGATTTATTTGGTCTGGATATCTGGACATGCCATAAATGCATGATTAATGGCTTTTCTGTATTTTTCTATTGCTCCGATGAAATTATCTAAAATTTCCCTGAGAAAGTTTGGCTCTTGGAGACAACTTTATTTTGGAGATTTTTTTATTGTAACGTGATCCATAGCATCTTACATGAGCTAGATAATATCCCTCTTTGTATGAAGTCTTTAGTAGATTGGCAATCTTGACACGTGCGTGTGTATGTATGTGTGCCTTGATACAGGTTGGTTGTGGTAGTGCTTTTATATCATGTAATGCTGACGTTTGAGGGTAGTCTAGCTACAAATTCTGAAACATTTAACAGAAAAAAAGGAGGAAAAATTAATGTTTGTTCCAGTGTCTTGGAAAGGTTGAAACAACCCTAAAAATTGACAGCTTTGGCATTTAAGGGTTAATTGTTGAGGAACTTAGGTTTGTTTCATGGTTATATTATAAGTCTCTATCCGGTATATGTAGTAGTGAGACAGCATTCTCAATTTCTGGACATGACTGAGGTTCTCCACGAAATGAGGTAGCTGTGTGTAGCCTGTTGTTCCATTTACTCCATGTTAATTTGCAATGTTCTGATTTTGCCCTTTCTTTTTTATTGATCTTTTTAATTTTCTTGTCTTGTCTTCTTTACTCATTCTTTTGTACTTATAGAGATAATATTTAACATCTTTTCCCTAGAGTAAAATATTTACTTCCGCATTCGTATTTTTTTGCATGTTGGCTTGTTAAGTCACTGGAGTGCATGTCTTACATATTTCTCATGATGGCAGATGTGGCCTGATTTGATAGCAAAGAGCAAGGAAGGTGGGGCTGATGTTATTGAAACTTATGCATTTTGGAACGGACATGAGCCACTTAGAGGACAGGTGCTGTAATTGTTTTACTGGCCTAATCATTGATGTTACTTCTTCTTATTCTTGACTTGTCTTTTCAGTATAACTTTGAAGGGGAATATGATATTGTAAAGTTTGTGAAGCTAGTGGGATCTAGTGGGCTCTATTTCTTTCTTCGAATAGGTCCTTACATTTGCGCTGAGTGGAATTTCGGGTATAATTTTCTTTCCCCTTATATATCTTATGTTTTCTACTTAGAATTCAATCCCTAAAAGATGGCATAACATTATTTCCAAGAAATAGAAAGTGACATAACACCTATTATGCAATTGTTCAACAAAATTTCAAGAGGCTTTTTTCACAGTAAGGTTTGGAAAGGGTCAAATGTATGCAATCTTTCATTCAGTACGGAAAGACTGTTTTTGTGACTTGAATCCATGACGAGGGGTGGGCTCTAACTCAGACGGAGTCGGAAAGCATGAATCCGACTTTGACTTCAGTCTTCAGTCGGAGAGAATTTTTTCCTCCGACTCCGCAATACATTGACTCTGCCTTTGCCTATCAAATTCAGAGCGGAGTAGGAGTGGAGCTTCGGAAATGAACATAATCCAAAAAAATATAAAAAATACCATAAAAGAGACATAAAAATTAAGCACACACAGACGTGCGCGCACACACACACATATATAGAGAGAAAGAAAGGGAGAGAGAGATACTGTCTGAGACCATCCAGGTGAGCGACTGATAGCTTTAGTTGGAGTTGCTGAGATGTGAGATCTTCATGTGCTTTCCAGAACTATGGGTCTTTGAGCTTACTGTGTACGATTAGCCAACCTTCCGGTGGTAAATGGATTAGACGTACCCCATGCTACGGTTCCAGCAGTCTGAACCTGGTGCCGCATTAGGTGAGGGAGAAGGGCAATAATAGATCCTCCACATCCCAAAGCGCACTACCCTCCTAAGTGCGCAACACTAAGTAATCCAAGCTAACCCACATTACTGACTAGCGGTGGATAATCATATTTCTCAGAGCTACTAAATACAACTCCATGAATGAGCACAATGAAGGTTGCAACATCTTAGATCTGAGATCTGAGCTTCAATCATCTAATGAGAGGAGGGCTTGTTGTCGAAAAGTTCATAAAAGAGATCTCACATCTTAGATCTGAGATATGTTCTTCAATATGAGAGAGAGAGAGAGAGACTAGGTGAGGAGGCAGCTATAGGTAGAGAGAGAAAGAGGATAGGATGAGGTCCAGGAGGAGACAAAGAAGGTGTTGGAAAGGGAAAGGGCTCTCTATGATATATCATATATCTAATGCCACAGTTCAATTAGAATCAAAGTATCATCTCAACTGTCCATTTTTTAAAGGATATGTTTTTTATATGCAATGGTACCATTTTAGATATATAATAATATAATTTATATAACATTTTCAATTAATAAAAGTCGGAGTGAGAGTTTTTTGTAGAAAATGTTTCAAACTCCGACTTCGACTCCATTAAACTCTGACAAAGGCGGAGGTGGACTAGAGTTGGATTTTCGGATTCTTGCACACCCTATCCATGACGTAGAGGTCATAGTGGAGTAACTTTACCACTGTGCTAAGGCCGTAGTGGTACTTATGCCACATCCTAAAGTTAGGGCTCACCATGACGGGGTGTGGCTATCATAGTTCATCAAGTATGGTTGCAGAAGCATCTCATATGGTCATACCAAACCAAAATGCAATTGACTATTGTCAAGGCAAACGATATTATCATTCAGGGTGGAGCCATAACTAAATTATGACAAATCCGTGAAAATCAAATATCATTGAAATTTAAACCCACCTTCCATCCTATTATAAAACATCTAATACCTTCAACAATACAAATAATTTTAGGTAGTCTTCTACATACACAAAATCTCTCAAGCTACAAATCTTAAAATCCTTCAAAACTTCATTGCTCGAGTGTATATGTAGAAGAAGGTCCAAATTGCAAACACTCCACGGTTATGTTACAAAATGAATTATTTCTCATCCAATACAGATTGAATGGTCTCTCAAGCTATGGAGAGATACCATTATAGGTTCCTTATGAGAGGTGGAGTGACTTACACAACCAGCAGCTAAATGGAAACATTCCCAACAAATTATTTTTCAAAACCAAATGTGGAGTATATGATTTTTCTTGTTCTCATCTTAGTACATCGACAATTGGATATCATGAATTCATGATTACCTTGGTGATATCCATTTTTTCGTGGATATTTTCCCTATCCCTCAGAGACTTTAGACCCACATGGAAAGAAGAATTAGTGATCAAGTTAACCATAGGTTTCCTTATTCAGCCCTAGTTGATCAGAAACTCTCTTGTTAACCTACAAGAGTGAAAAATTAAACTAGCGTTATCTTTAGCAGTCCAAAGGTTTCTATAGATTCCATCTTATACAAAGGTTCAATAGGACTTTTTTGTTACATCCAAATATCAAATCTAGTGTTAAGAAACCTCTTTAGGTTGCTCTTGATCATTCCAATGGCAGGCCATTGACCATATCCATTTGCCGTAGGTTTCTTGTCCATCAGAATATTTCATACTGATGTCCAATTGAAATTTTTATGCTATTCTCGAATTGACCAAATGCATATTTATTTGGTTTACAAGGTGAATATTAGTCCAATTTTCTACTGGAGGATGGGTTGCATAGCCAAGACATATTTCCAACATTTTGCCACTTCTTCCAGAATGTGTGGATCAGACTGAAGAGATACACCATTGATTTATCACTTGGTGATTCTCAGAGCTACATCATCACATGGAAAAATTGACATTGCTTAAGTTGTTAAGGTTTTGCTTGGTTTTTCAAACCAAGTTGGTGTCTCAAAAATGTGTGTTGGAGGTTGATCAAAATTTTGTTTTGGTGCATAGTTTCGGTGAGTTTGGAAACATAAACGTTTTGGTTATGTTTCCGAAATATTTTGGAAACAAGATGGAAATAAAGAAAAAATTTGAAAATTTGTTTCCGAAACATTGGTCGAAACAACCAAAACAAAAATCAGATTACAACAAAACACCTCAAAATATAGGAATTTTGATATTCAATCAATGATTTGTTTCGGTTCTATGGAAATGAAAACGATTCAGACTTTTCAAAATGAAATTTAATTCCTTGATCATCAGTTTCTAGGCGGTTCATTGCATATTGGAAATCTTGTGTTAATCACCCTTGCTGATTGTGGTTAGTGCATTGAATCTGGTTTCAGCTTCTTGTTTTTTCCATGCTCTCTCCTTGCTACTGATAATTGTTTGTACCATTGTTTCTTAGCCAATGGTTTTTTGATCATTTATAGAAACTCTGAAAAATGTTCTATTTTGCATATTAGAAAAATTGTGAATGAAACTGTTGAAATTGGGTATTTTGTTTAAAAATTTTGTCAAAAAAAGGTAAAAAAGTGCATTTAAATATGTCAATAAACCAGTATGAACTTCACAATGAATGATTACACAATCATTCTATACTTGCTTACTTAAAATATGAAGTTTTTCTCTTTTTTTGTGTTGTAATGATCTTTTAGATAATGGGATCCATATGCATCATCTTTGAATGTTCCGAAATTTATGGGCCGACGTAATATTAGTTTAAAAAAAGTATTTTATCTCATGTTGTCTGTGAAGAATTATCTGCAAGTAGTTCTGTGTCAACCGTTATCTCTTATTGGGTACCAAAACTTGCAGGGGTTTCCCTGTGTGGCTTCGTGATGTCCCTGGCATAGAATTTCGAACAGACAATGCACCCTTCAAGGTATAAGGACCAAGGACATTTAAGTTATCTTGATTATGCTGTTTATTCCATGGCGGTACTTGTTACGTTTGTATTGTTATTCTTGTAGCTGCTGCACATGACAATAATTATGCTGCTTATTGTCTGATTATTCCCAATTTATTTATGATGAATTTATTCTTGCAACAGTGTGCTCATGCTTGATTCCAGTTGATTACATTTGTACCTAAAACTTTTTGTAGTATGTTGAATATGTGACGCCCCTAAAACCGAGGATCCCGTTGCCCATCCGTTAACCCGCGGAAATACCCGTGATTGTCGCATGACCCGATATCACGTCTATCACACCCCCGTAACCGGGATTATAACCCATACGAGGATCCGTGTTTCCTTTAATTCATTTAATCCCATCGAGGTTCAACATACCCCAATGTATCTCATTTAAGGTCCATTTGTGTCATTGGAACCAAAAAACACATAGTCCAAAAACATGGCAATTCATTCTTAAAATTTTAGATTTTTGGAAAATCTTCCGGAAGGTTTTGTTATGGATCTTCCAGAAGGTTTGCTCAGTGGAAAATTTATACCGGNACATGGCAATTCATGCTTAAAATTTTAGATTTTTGGAAAATCTTCCGGAAGGTTTTGTTATGGATCTTCCGGAAGGTTTGCTCAGTGGAAAATTTATACCGGAAGGTTTTATGGATCTTCTGGTAGGTTTTACCTTCTGGACTAATTTCTACCGGAAGATAAGTAAAACCTTCCGGCAAGTGTGCCCACTGGATGAAAAACTCCATGAACCTTCCGGAAGGCTTTGTGGACCTTCTGGTACTGGACAGAAAATTTACACTAACCTTCCGAAAGGTTGTTGTGACCTTCCGGAAGGTTTTACCCAGAATTTTATGCTTCATCAGATTTTCATTTTCAATTCATCCAAAACCTTTTCAAACTCATTCCAAACATGGATAATGACATTTTCTANAGAGTTTTTTGTAGAAAATGTTTCAAACTCCGACTTCGACTCCATTAAACTCTGACAAAGGCGGAGGTGGACTAGAGTTGGATTTTCGGATTCTTGCACACCCTATACATGACGTAGAGGTCATAGTGGAGTAACTTTACCACTGTGCTAAGGCCGTAGTGGTACTTATGCCACATCCTAAAGTTAGGGCTCACCATGACGGGGTGTGGCTATCATAGTTCATCAAGTATGGTTGCAGAAGCATCTCATATGGTCATACCAAACCAAAATGCAATTGACTATTGTCAAGGCAAACGATATTATCATTCAGGGTGGAGCCATAACTAAATTATGACAAANGTCACAAGTCGGCTTTTCTTCATCGTTAAGGCCTCAAATACGAGCCCACTCTCGGTACGAACCCCGCATCTGAAATGTTTCCCGTATAGGGTGAGCCAACGCCCAGTAGAATATTTCCTACAGAGGCTACTCCCTAACCTAAATTCATATGCAATGTTCATATACAACATTCACAATCATCTAATTATTCCAATCAAGAATATATATGATTAATGTAGAATCTACCATGTCATGCCATGAATGAAATGAGATTCACTCACGCACATCAACCCGAGCCCTCACTGGCTCTCTCCACAGTATGCAATGCAAGTGTAAAGCATTTATCCTTGATGAAATATATCCAAAGATCATTTTTGAAACAAAACTCATATGTTCATAAAAACCAATTTATTTCTTGATGTTTCCCACCAAATGAATCATTTGTAGAACTAAAACCATGTGCCTTTATTTGGGTAGTGGACTTTTGGTGTTGTACCGCCGGCTCCACACACCGATACACTTTTTGGACTTGCACCGTCGGAGTATATGAATCAATAGCCAGGCCTTGCACCCGGGGGGATCTATCCCTTCTTGTTATACCCGACACAAGTTTTTCTATGTATGCAACCNTGGACTTGCACCGTCAGAGTATATGAATCAATAACCAGGCCTTGCACCTGGGGGGATCTATCCCTTCTTGTTATACCCGACACAAGTTTTTCTATGTATGCAACCGTACGACTCAGTAGAATATTTAATCCCACTTTTCCGAGCCCACCCATCAAACACTAAGGATGATGATTGATCCAACTATACACTCACACCCCATACTCATGGCCATGGATGCATTTTTCCCGTGCAAATACAATGTAATGCATCATTGCAATGTCTATGTCATGCTCAATCTGCAAAGTATGCCAAATGAGCTATTTAAAAATTCTCAACATACAACATGACAATTTATATCAATTGCATATAATCACCACCAATCAACATGATTTTAACAATATATCTTCACTCATGTTTTCTCAACAAAGTTCATGGCTATTATATAAACTCATACCATAACGACTAAATTTCACATAGGCATTTAGCAA